TCGATGGTTGCTATAGAGACGAGTGTTCACTCATCCCCGAGTAGTATATTCATTTCCCTAGTGGCAATTCTACGTTAGGTTCTGTTGCTTCCTACCACGACCTATAGTAAACTCGGGCAGAGAATATCTTCCTGTACAAACAGGCATTGTACTAGTTTGCATGGAAACTATGCAAACATTGTTTTTTTTTTCTAGATACTAAGATTATTCTAGGGAAACAAACGGTGCTCGGGATCGAGTAATTATAGGTACAACTTACGATAAAGATCTAATGGTTCTAAAGCGAAGATAAATGTTTCTATATGACACAAATAGTGGCAACTTCGTGTGGTTTCGTGTATAGATCCAGTTCGAAATACGTGTAAATGTGTAATGAAGTAATTAGCCTAGTAATTCTACAAGTTACTTGTGGCTAGTATGGGCTAAAATGGCTGTAGGCCCCGTTCGAAAACAGCTTACTAACGAAAAAAACTCAATTTATATATATATAATCGTTGCCCTATATCTGGTCAAGTTATGTGCTTCTACTTTTAGCCAATGTTAAAGATACGTATCTTGAAAAAATTCGCGTAAGTTTAACGAATATTAAAGGCCCCTACTAGGAGGATTTGTGTGTATAATCTAAGCACGTTACGTTGGAGTTACGTTTATGCACACTTACCATACAAAATGTGTGGATTTTTATTACTACTTTCCCATGTGGAAGATAACCAAAACGTTTCAATTGTATCTGTTTTCAGTCATTCTTCCATAAAACTCTAAATAACAATCATTTGATGCCAAGTAATGGAAAAACCGTGACTATTGGCCTCCCCTTTTATTTTTCTTCGTAGAGAAACACTGTATAGGCCTATACCCGTAGAGGAACACTCCTTGGTTTTATGTTATTTTAAACGCAGACGGAATTTCTTTCCCCTCTCATAAATTATAGGAATTATAAAGGTTCAGTTAGTATTGTAATATACGGATGATTCAATATATTATACATTCATTGAAGGTATAACAATGTGAAAGAGTGTTGTAGTATGAGTGGAGGAGCCTTATAATGATGGTGGAGTAGAGAAATGGTAATTAAAAAACTAATAAAAACTCCTAGATGATATTTTTGAGAAAATAATATGTTTTCTGTAGGTAAGATGTAGAAACAATGGAAAATTAGTATAAAATTATTACACGAACTTTTGCTAGCTACAACTTACTGTATACATGATGTCAAAGCTTAATTGGTGTGTAATATATTGAATTTATTCTTATAACTTTTTAAATTATACGTAAAAAAAACGAGTAAATTTAATCATCTCTTAAGATTAGACTGAATCTCTAAGTATGCAAAAAAAAAAAATTTTAATTAAAAAGATTAGAAATTTGAGATTAAAAATAGAAAGTTCTTCTGAATAGAAAAAAAAATCAGCAATGTCGATGCAATTTCATTAAAGAAACTAAAACTAGCATTTTGTGTATTTTCAATTTAATTTATTTAAAATTATAGTCGAGTTTTTCAGAAAATTTTTTCACAAGATTCCTTCGCTTCTAAGTCCTGCTTTAATTAAATTTCATGCCAGTAATATATTAAATTCATGAAAAAAAAATTCACTTTCGTCAACTATAATTGAAATGGGATCAAAAAGTACAAGAATCTCTCAAAAAATTCTGCGAAAATTTAAAATTTGGCGTTTTTCAAGTGGAGATTTTTTTTCATCATATAAGGACAGACAGCAAACGAGAAAAAGTAATATAATCTTTTTAATCGATAAAATCCATAAAATTAACATTAAAAACGAATATTTAAAGCTAAATTACCGTCAGAATATGAGGAAATTACAATTTTTAATATTAAATTATTGTTATTTAGGCAATTTTTGAACATAATTAATGTTTCATTAAAATCCATAAAATTAACATTAAAAACGAATATTTAAAGCTAAATTACCGTCAGAATATGAGGAAATTACAATTTATTATATTAAATTATTGTTATTTAGTATTATAATAATTTATTACACAATATTTAATGTGGTAATTATAGTTCATGCATAAACACTATTCACAATAGACATTAAATCTTGCGGTTTACTGTATCATAGTCTACATTTCGTGAATTATATAGGATAATTATGGTTATTTTAAATAAAATTAAAGACGTTTTAAAAGTTTCCCATTAAAATAAAAAATAGACTGATGTAACTGACATAAGATTGAAAGTTACGATCATCGCAATTGTGAAATTATGATTAATGTTGATTGCATGATGTTTATTATTATGTTACTACATTAATAATACAGTACACAGCTGAACACTATTTTTTTTTTATTAATTAAATCAAAGTTTTCTAACTAATGGATTGTGATTCACATAGCGGAATAACGTCACGGTTTTTTAGTTTACTAAATGGAATTTACCAAGTAAAAACCACTTCTAAACACAAAAGTGGATCAATATTATCAAATTATCTTCCATATATCTCTAGCTGTACGATGCAAAAACAAATTACGCTTTTTTTTAGTACTATTGAATTAAATTTATGCGCTTTTAGGGTCTCAGAGAGGCATAAATATATGTTTATCGACATTCAGACTGCGGTACTAATTAGATTATACTAGACCTTATATGATGTCTATATAATGACCTAATATGGGTTTTAAATTGTGTAAATTTATACAGTATAAAAGGATCTTGCAAGGGGGCCATGCTTGTCTAGGGCTATTATAGGGCCGAATTTACACATAAGCTAAACAAACTGCAGCTTATTGCCTCATGCTATGAGTCTATAGTTTTGGTCTCTATATTTTTACATATATTGTTATTTGGTGGAGGGAAGGACGTGTAAAACATTATAACTTAGTGTAGGGTGACCATACATCCCGGTTTGTCCAGAAAAATCCCGGATTTCTCTGTTTTTAATCCTCGAAAGTAGAATAAAATTATAAATAGTACTATTTATAGATCTTCGAATGCAACATAACCAATTTGTAGGTTAATATGTAAATAATTTTTAAAAACATAGTCTGAATTTAGTCAGTTTTAAAGCCTTTTTTCACCCAGTCTTCAAAATTGTCTCTGTTTTGTATGGTAAACAATGTTTACTCCAGCTTAGGGCCATAACAAGTCTAAGTCTACTGGTCACACACCAGTAGATAAAAACACTGAACATTGTCAGTTAGTCGCGAGTTTGTCTCACCAATAGGCTGACTGCGTGAAGTTTTATGTTTTCTTCCTGTATCTAATACTTAAATAAGGGGTCATTGTCCTATAGAAACTTCGCGAGTATGCTATAGAAATGTCACGTGGACAGCTAAATAGGGGCGAGTTGTCTACAGAAACTTACCCCTATTTAGAAACTTTTTCTATAACACTTAAATAGGAANCAATTCAATTATATTATTCAAGCATAATTTACCTATTTTTTCCTCATGAAATAATAAATAGATTATGAAATTAAAAATTTCATAATCTATGTATGAAATATCGACGAAAGCTAAGTAAATTTTAAAGCATAGAGCAATAAACTATACAATAAAAGTTGCAGAAAGGTAGATTTTTGAATGATACTTAAGTATTCTTGTATATAAAGTGCACGAGACCAAGTAAAAAGTACAAGTAATTTTAATTTTTACACGATCTCACGCATGTGTAGGCTCAAAATAGACGATAAGTGTAACAATTAAAGTGTATGAGTGGGTTACAAAACAGATTTAAGTACAAATTGTACTTCTACGGGTTTATTTATTACAGAATTTAAATAAAATTTCGTATGTAAAATAGTTAATGAAAATTTCTAGTTACGTAATGTACCTAGTTACCAACCCAACAAACCGAAAAGTTACGTAAAAAAAATGGCGGAGAACGGCTCTAACTACATAATAAGCAACAATTTCCTGACAAGACGGCGCCTGTATCGGGCGACCCAGTTGTCTGCGATGTTTAGAAATCGTCATAGCTACTTTGTTTCCCGTCTGTGATCCGTTTCGTGCCGATTTCTACGCATTCGTATCTAATTAAAGTCCAAGAATCGACACAGCAGTCGGCCGGTCTCGCTAAGATGCAGATAATAATGATAGTCACGTGTCAGTGAACAAGGCTCAACTGAAAGTATGAAGGGGTCTTCCTGGAAACGGTTTCAATTAATTTCCACGTAAACACGGATCTAATTCCATAAATCCGATTCGTTATACAAATATAAAATGCACGTGATGTCTAGTAAACACGCATTTATTTTTACCTGATTAGTGGTAATCCTTCGAAAGGGTATCATCGGCCGCGTATCCACTCGCTGATTTTTAACTGGAGGAACACATTAAAATAAATCCTAAGTCATTTTTTTCGACGAGCAGACACACACACTTGCACACACAACATAAACGAAGCACGGACTGGCGTGGCAACTCGACGCACCTGGCAAACAACACTAGACAAAAGCAACCAACCAAGCTTCAAGCTCCTAACCAATCAACAGGTGGCTGACTTTATAATATGGATACTCTAAGAGAAACGCAACCGAACGGGCATTTAAAGGCTTTCTAACAAGGAAACCGCACACTAAAGCTTAATTTCTCACAAATAAAAGCAACTTTTCCCCAAAAAAACTCGCCCTAAACTCGTACGAAAAAGTGCATAATTCCTCTAACACACTAACGGCTTTAGATCGCGTGTATGCTAAGTTTAACACGAGAAAAATCAGTCACTGGACCTTAAAAAAATGTAATTTTAGTAAAATTAGAAGGAAAAAAGTTATAGAATTTTTCCCTAATTCGGTTCGACTCGATTATGTTTGATCGCAATCGATCGAACCGGTTTTTGGTCGAGCGCTTCAGGCAGCTTTACTACTCGATTTTTATACACAGTCTAAGAAAATTAAAGAGTTATACTTTAATATAACCCCTGACAAAGTTATACACGATTAAATCACTTATTTGGATGATTCACTATAATTATGCAGTCGATAAACAGTGAAAACGTTATTAGATTTACTGAAAAATCAACTAGAATGTCTACTACTTACCTTTTTTTCAGAGCCATGTCTACTCTATATCGATCGTACCAGTCGAAGGAATTCTCCTGTTCGTTTTTTTTTTCTTTTTTACGCTTCATCCTGTAAAAATAAAAATAATGTAAAAAAATAAAATAAGCAATCTTCGGATTAATTTCCTGCGATTTCTAAGCGATTTTTAATGAGTAAAAGTGTAGTAAAGACGTAAAAATGACGAGAAAAAAAAAAGACAAAGGTCAAAGGTTCGTATGCCTTGAGGGTTAGTTTCCTGCTTTCAACGTTAAGAGAAGACAAGGTCGTGCTTAAAAATAAAAATAATCACTTGTACAATTTGCTTTGACTTCATTTCAAATGTATTTTGCAAGATCTTGTGAAAAAATAAACAAACAAACAAAAAAAGGTCATATCAAATCTTCAATTTTGTAACTTTCCTTTTACTTTTTATTTATTTATTTATTTAATTTTTGGGGATTTGTGAGGCTTTAAAATTGCGTATTTTATACCCTTTTTATTCCTACACTTTAATAATAAAAAAATTTTTTCAGTGTAAATTTACATTAATTTACACAGTGTAACGTTCTGTTTATGTCGCCATCTAGTGATAAGGTGCGATACTGTATCTGTACATAAATTTCTAAATTTTATTCTCTTCCCTTAAGTTTAGGGATTTTTCGTGAAAATTTTAACTTTTTTTGTTTTACTTTGAAGTAATTTTTAAAAAATGATAACAATTTAATTATTAATTGTTTCAATGCAAAGATAATTATTTAATTACAAGTTTCATTTTGTAATCTTATAAAATAATTACATTTTTAAATTAATAAAAGCAGAATAATAATTTTAAAATTAAAAATAGCAAAATATAAACCCAAATATCTATTCGTTATAAGCTAAAGTTTAGGGAATTTTTTTGCTTTAATTCTGTTTTTAGAGAAATTTCTTTTTAAGGTATAATACAATGTTTGATTAATGGTCTACATTTCTAACTTTTTAATTAAAATTTTAATTAACTTTTTAAAAAATGTAAATTTAATGATTAATTAATTAATCGGTAATAGTTTTAATTTAAAAATCGAAATATAGACCATAACCAATCAATATATGATAAATTAATGAAGAATTCTCTAATAAAATATACCATACGCAAATTTATAAAATTAAGGAATTTTCTAACAGAGTAAGCTAGGTAGAAAATTCCCCAATATAAATATTTCCCTAGCACAAACTACATATTAGGGAATTTTCTGACATTTTCCTGGAATAAAACTGGAGCCGATGTGCTAGATCTATAATGCGTATCACTACGCCACCGTGTATAAGCAACGAAAATGCTTCGAACGTAAATGTTCAGATTTTTCTGAGGAAAAAAACTGCTAAAATTTAAAGTTTTTTACTTTGTTTTTGTGTTGTTTATTCTCAAATTTCTTTCAAAAATAACCATAAAACTTTGAGTTTTATGACAAACTGTTACAATTCCACGTACAGTACAGTGGAACCTCCAACAACGTCCACTTTCTTCAGTAACGTTTCTTTTTAAAATGCATACAAAACAACCTCCAAATAACGACCACTCGTGTTCACATCACTGACCGTTCTTCAGAAGTTTGACTGTTTTATGTTCTACTTCGGCACAATATTAGGGACAGAAAGGACATGTCTCCTACAATAGTAGCGGCAAATTGCTCCCTCCCAAGTTATACTCGTATATTTTTTTTATTTTATACCATATTATAAAAATTAGGAGTAGAAACGAGTGCACTGTACACAACAGGTACACATTATTTTTATGTTCAATCAAAACCCGATAATAAGAAAGTGTCTGTCCTGATAAACCTCCTGACCCTCCAAATAAACTATACATAGATCGACGTCGATTTATTTTGGAACTATGAACGTAGAATTATTTTCCTTCGCGTATGTAGATTAACGAACATTAACTTCACTCTTATTTTAGCAAAGATTGTTGTAAAATTACTCAAAAAAACTATAAAAGGGGCAGAAAAATTCCCCAACAAACTATAAAACGGGTAGAAAAATTTCCCTAAACTATAAAATATACAGGAAATTCTCCAATTATAAAATAGAAAATTCCCCAAGTTAAAGTTTTCCTAAAATACTAGTGCATTGTATTTTATATTTAAAAAATACCCCAAAAAAATTAAACCTTTCGCGTATATTTACATAACTAAACAGCTTTTAGACCAAACTAATAATTAAGTATCGAACGAGATAATCATTTTAGGGAATTTTTTTAGTGGAAAAACAGGAAAAGATCCCGTTTTATAACTGAAGACAATGTATTTATCTCGACGAAATCAAGTAATTGTTTCTAAACTTTAAAACTCGAGCCATATTATTATGAATTTTTTTAATAATAAAATTTACCAAAACAGAAATTTTATCAATTATCTCTACCTGTCAAATCTTTTAAAAATTGTATTTTAATAGATGCCAACACCTTACAAGCTTCTAGGGTGGATGGTGATTTATGAGGGTAATTTGTGTAAGAAAAAAAATATATATATTTTTTCCCTTCTTCTGGCTCCCACTTCTGATTAAACCTGTACTTATCCGGTTCTTTATCGGAATTTTGATCGATTTAATAAATATTAACATCAACAATTACATAAAATTCGTTTTTGTTTTTCTATCCCGGGGTAATTTAAGCATGGGTGCATTTTTTTAAATAGCAAAACACAAGCGAGATAGCCTCATAAGTGTAAAAATATCGTAAAAACATGAATCTGCAGTGTTCTGGGATCATTGTCTGCATTGAATTCCTTTGATAGTAATATCCGGTTTCCCGAAACAGGGAAGAGGATTGAATCAAACAATGCTCGGATCCTTTTGCAGGTTTCATTAGTCACCCCTGTAACAACCTAATGAAAGGGAGACACATAAAGGTGCATTGTTTGAACTTGACAGAATCCGTTGTGCAGGTTAATGTGCTGAATTTTTGCACGCTACTTCTATGCATTAAAGTCATTTCTCTCCCTCTCTTACCTTAAATAGCATCTTTAATGTCAAAGTTAAAAGACATTTTAAATTGAGGTAGTGAAGAATGTAATGTTATTGTGCCTTTATAAAAAGTTAAAATCTTATTTAAAATCTAGTTAATTTCGCTGTTAGTTAATAAATTATTGAGGAAAATAACAGCTGTAAATAAAGTTTCTACGCATAATTGAGTAAAAAAGGGGGTTCAATATTGCCTATTACCTGAAGTAGAAAATTAAATAATCTATTTATGTAAAGGAACTTGTGAGTAAACTATTGAGTTGTACTTTTAAGAAAACAAAATCAGATTAATTAATATTTTTTAAAAATTTAATCAAGCGAAAAATGAAGTCTAACTAATAAATTATAATAAATTTTCAGACTTATTTAATCGAATAGAATCTTTTTTCCATTCCAGCGTTTAATTAAGAATTCAGTTTCTAAAGTAAGAAAAACAATTGTTCTGCGGCTCCACCAACAAGAATTATGTAAACACGCAATGAAAATCAATAAATTCCGTTTCTGGTTTTGGACCAGCTATAGAAAATAATAGCTGACATCAGATAATCATAAATTGAGTTTATACACACAAATTAATTAGGTAAAATTGTAAATGCAACCTCCACTCCAAAGTTTCGGTTTCAATATATATTATCACTTTTCGTACTAAAAAACCCATTACAAATGCGTTAAAATTAGAAAATTGATAGTTGTGTTACTAAACTGTTACATTATATTCAACATTCATTAGGATCACACTTGCTGAGAACAGAATTTAATTTAATGAGCTTACACGTTAAATCCCGCAACGGGATCTACCGTAGTAGCTACTATTACACAATTGTTGCCAATTTAATAGCCAAACTCCTCCCTTAAGAGAAACTCCACCCCTAAGCAACGTACTTTTCAGCAATAACCCTTTTATTACTCCAAACGGGAATTACTTACACGACAAACTAATAGTTATGAGATGAAAAAAATGCATGGAGAACAATGAAAAACTTTTTCACCATTGGGATTCTTTCACACAAAGGATCTAGAACAAATTTATTACAATATACCTTTCTTTCTGGAATTTTTTTCTTTAAAAAATTACAGACCACTTCGCCGTCTTACAAACTTCATGACAACTTTACCGCACCCGTTACACCTAAGACAGGAACTGAAATTAAAAGCAGTCTACAAGGGAAAAAAACGCGGAGGAGTTGGAGGAAGAGCAACGTGGATAATTATTCATTTTGCAAATGTCTTCACGTTTTTTCCCTCCATAATCCTCTTCTGAGCTATGCAATTCAAGCGAATTATTTGTTGTTTGGTTTGTTATTCAATGGAATAAAAAAAATTGCAGCTTTGTTCAATACAATTTGTACTACTAAAAAAATAATTGTGATTATTATTATTATTTTGCACATGAGTCATTAAAGTTTTTGTTCAGATATTCTATTCTGCAGATGTGCGAGAGAGTAGCACGTATTGCAAAAATTAAATTAGTACTGTATACGTCGTTATCCTCTAAACACAAATCACTGGGTCATTAACTTTTTCTCTTCTCTTCGCAAGTGTCTAAACCACTTTACAAACTTTATCAGTGGGTTGGGGATTTAGTTTAATGCTAATGGAAGTCACATTTACGATCATTTCAAAATGTATATTCTTCCACACTCTTGCATATTATATAGTAGAAAGAGCGCTTTCGAATTTGTTAGACGACTACCATGTGTGTTAATTTTTCGATTTTTCAGCTTCGTTATCAGTTTTACACTGAAATTTTCAGAAAGTTTCAGATTTAAAAGTGAAAAATTTTAATGTTTTTAGGAATTTTAATGATTATAATAGTTTTGGAAAAGTTTACTTGATAATATATTGATTTAATAGATAAAAAAACAAAACTAGTTTCGATTTAAAATTTATTACGATAGCATCTTTTTCGCGACATTAAAAATGAAACTTCTGCAATTAGTATAAACTTTTATGTAACTTTTAAATAGTAAAAAAATCTTTAATAAGTTTAAAATAAAAATTTTAATTATTTTTATAGTCTAATTATTAACAAGAGGTTTAATAAGTTTAAAATAATTCAGTCTTTATTAAGATATCACTTTGTAATCTTAAATCTCGGCCAATATAATGTTTGCCTACATACGAATGAACAAACCTTTAAATTAGTTATTAACAATTTTCTATAATAACCAATTATTCAATTAATTAATTAATTAATTTTTAAAAAATTCACGTTAATTAATTTTGATCTAACTTTTAAGTGACCAAAAAAAGACATTTCTTAAATGTCTTTAGATGTAAAAAAAACACTTTTCTGTAATTTAAGTAAATAAAGATTACACACGAAAAATTTTATGAAGTTTCAATAATTAAAATTTTGTTCTAAACTTATCGAAATTAGAAATCCAAGGCATTTATTGTTATACTTGGCTATAATTAATTGTTTGGGAGGATGGCTCAAATACTAAACTGAAGTAACATTTGACAACTTTCAAGGTAGAAGAAAATATCAATTTGCAAGGTTAGGTATCGCCCACCCGAGTGCTGTCAGGAAGGAAAAAGTATTAAGATTTCTGCGGAGTATAAATCATGCCTTTGCAAACAATGACCTCTCAAAAAAAGAAATTGCTTGAGAATATTTCGATAAGCTGTAAATGGTTAAATTAAGTCATTCGATGCCGGACACAGGGCGTAGTACTATCAAATAGATATCCGGTATTAAGACAGCATTTTCTTTGTTTCGAAGATAACAAGAGTTTAAGTTACATTTCTGATCTGCAACGACTGTTGAGAGAATTCTTATAAGATAATTAACTCACATGTATATATATAGATACATACATATTAAAAAAAACAGCCATCTTGTTTGTCTCGATTTTTAACAGAAGGGTGTGCCCCCCGATGTCATCGTGGTGTGTTGATTAATGAAGATTTTTTTTACACGAATGTCATCGACACTAAATTGGCGACGGGGAATTTTTATCGAAATTAACGAATGATGCGTTTTTTAATTAATTAAATTGGGAAAAGTCGACTCTGATGAAAAGTAATTCGGTAGCCACGTTTTTTTTCCCGGAGCATTCTGCTCTTAATTGATTTTCACTTCCTCTAACAGCAAATTGCTGCCTTAAAATGCATGGCAACTCTTGTTATAATTTCTCTGACCAAAAAAAAAACAAATTATATTTTACTAAAAAATAGTTTTAAACTGAGTAAAAAACTTAAATCTTACTAAAAATGCGGGACTAGTTTACAGCAGCTCTATAGAATTGATAGTAAATTCTTATCATGCATAAAATAAATTATTTTTTTAAATAACTATGCATTTCCTGTTTATAGCAGCTGATATCGCTCGCTCTCAAATAATGTTTTCTGCATTTCCGGACTCATCTTCATCCATTATTCAGTATAATTTCATGCCAGAATACAAAATAAACTGAAGAAATCTTTCATATTTTATTCTGCCATCTATCAAATTACTAAGCTACAAATTTAAATCATATTTATGTAGTTTATTCCAAAGAATAAAGTACATAAATATGTTAAACTAAAAAGGGTGATCCAAAACTGAATCAAAAATAATTAAAAGAAGAAAAACAGTGAAATTTTAATTAAGATAATTAACAGAATATAAGAACCTGATAGACTGAGAATTCTGTATGAACCACCATTTATACAGCAAAATTCTAGGTTATTATATGATGATGATGGATTCAGTAACCTGCATTAAAGATAAGAATTTAAGATTTAGAAAAATAGAGAGAAAAATAGAAATATTTTAAAAACGTGCTTTTTAAATTTTATCAGGTATATTAAAAAAATAATTATATCTCAATATTAACCGAATCATCAATATTCATACTAGATACATACTTACCCCTTAAAAAAATTACAAATTCCATAATATTTATCAAATAATTCAATTAATATTTTTTATGTGATTTTTCTAATAAAAATGTAAAAAAATAAAATTAAACAACATTGTAATACTTAAAACTTATCTGCTCTAGAACAGGTTGATCCATAATTCTGGACAGATAGGTTCACGCCTTCGCTTAACCCTTTCCAAAGAAACTGATAGGAATCATGTGTTTTTTTCTTTATGTATTTGATGAATTGTTTTTGTCCAAAAAAACTAGTAGTCAGAGATAGAGCAGGTGATATTTCTATAAAAACATAAAACCACTACTAATTTACTTCTAAATTGAAGTGGAGGTTTCAAATACATTCATTCTGATAAGAATAAACTGAAGATTATTTTCATCTCTTAAAAAGGTTAAGAGTTGTTTCTACATAACCTGTTGCATATTTTTTAATGAAAAATAAATTTTCAAAACATTAAATTAACCAATAATAAGAAATATATATATATATATAATTTTTAATTGTTGTTTTAAAATTTTTTAAAAATCCACTTATAAATAATGATTAACAAATTAAACAATTATTATACAAAAACTTACAAAATGAGAAGGAAAAATTTTCAGGTATATACTGCAAGTTTTTTTTTTATACTAGAAAATTTTATATGACAAATGACAGAATGTAGCTGCACAAAATACAGAATTTGACATGTAACAATTAATCCAAATTGAAATAATAAATTCTGATTTGGCACAGAAGACCACTTTGTTTAAAGATCTGAACGATATCTTCAGATGTCTAACTGATATGTTTAATTTTTTTTTTTGTATTTAACCTGTTTGCTGCATGTAGCACATTTACACATATCAAACACAAAAGAAATATTTTAATTATCACTTCACATATGACATTATTACATACATAATGCTCAAATAGTTCTTACTAAAAAATAAAAATCGGTGCAACCTAAATAAAATAATCTCAGCATTTTAAATCCGATAATTATGCAGCAAACTTGTTAAATGTTAAGAGTGCGTACTTGGAAACATTTTTTGATCCATCAAATACTTGATAAATTACATCCTGATATCGTAAAAATCCTATTCTCTTTAAATTTCAACAAATATGAAAACATTTATTGACTCGTTTTGTTAAGTCAAATCATTTACAAATAATGCTATACACATTTGTTGTATTTCAAAAACTTTTGATGGAACAAGTTTCATAGCATTTATTACAGAGATAGGTCTCGAGCGTTGGAAATATACAAGAAAATTTTGATTTGATTTTGGGATTGAAAGACGTTTTCATAATAAAGCCAATTTTCTCAATGTTAAAACATCAGTAGAAAAAAAACTGAATTTTGAATCATAAAAATTTGTATTTATAAACGATTTAACATTTCGACAGATAATAGTTAACATTTTATAAGATTTAAATAAATTTTAAAAAACTGATCATCTTTAAAAAACAAATTCTTATTCAAACAATATATCTCTTAGACAAAAATCTTTGATAACAACAACAGAAAGACAATATGCTATGTTTCAAATTCTGTTATTGTAATGAAATAGACTAGGTATATACTGTGCCACAGAAAGACATGTCCCAGATAAATGCAAGATGTAATCGCATTACAGTTCTGCTTAGCACATTCTTCATGAAGTTGTCTCTAGTTCAGATGCTGGAGTTTCTGGTTCTTCATCATTGTAGATATTCTCCGCCTAAAAAAATACTTTTTTAAATTAATTACTAAATAAATTTCATAAAAAAATACAACACAGTCTTGATTATCTGATCTTTAATTATCCACAGATTTAATATAATTCAAATTGTTTGTCTTCATCTTTTTTTTTATGCCACTAAGTTATTAAACCTAAGAATAAATTAGAATTTAGTTTCTTCAAAATTGTATTTAATCTTTTTTATAAGATAATTCTGGTTTAACTTCAAAATTTAATAATAGCAGTTAATGCATAAAACTGAAAATGAATAAAATGATGAAATGATGATTTTTCTACATTTTTTTATTTCATTACTGAGCATATTAAACAAATATTTCCAAATACAGCTTGTATCAGGTAACATTCTATTTTATCCATTTAGATCAGATAATCAAGACTAAAGTAAATCGCTCATAAAACTTAAATTTTCACATAATTAATAAACTAACTACAATCAAATAATATTCCATATTATGTAAAAAAAAACAAGGATTAATATGAAGGGAATTTGAAGAATCCTTGAACAATAAACACATTTCACTGAACTTTACATCATTTCAGTACATTATTAATTTGGTCTTTTCTGATAATAAAATTTTATTAAGTTCCAAGACTTTGTTCGTTATCCAATTATCAATTTACCATAGGTTTTTATGGGAATTTGATTAATTTGTTCCGGAGACTCCAAAAAATATAAAATATATACTTTTTTTCATTTTTTGGAGTACTTTTATTTTTTTGGATATTTTATTTATATATTTTTTATTTATTACGTTTATTTATATGTAATAGTAAAAATACATATGTATGCAGTCTTGCATTACAGTCCGTTTCAAAATTATAAACACACCCAACTTTTTTCAATAACAAAAACATTAACAATAGTAATGTACTTATTATATTAGTATGTTGTTTACAACAGGGGCCTTCAACCTTTTACACTTTCGGGAACCCTTTGAGCTCAGGGTTTTCTTGAAGGAACCTCGTGTTTAAGTAGCAGATAAAATAGTTTATCAAAGCTTTTTTCTACTCAAATTTGCAAAATTATTCTTGTATCTTTATTTAATATTAATACAACATCTTAATAAAACAATGAATAGTGAGGTAGCGAATCGGGTTTTATTTTATTTATTTTCTAGAATACATTTTATGAATAATTAACAAAAGGAACAATATTTTATATTATAACAAATTAATAAAAAGAAAATTCTTTTAATGACTCGACTGCACTTATTTTTTTATCGCAAAGCATTTTTACATCGGGAATAATTGTTGAAATCTGCAACCTAACGTCATCTTCGGCATCCAATCTGTTTCTGTATTTTGTTTTTGTGGCAGCATACAAAGAGAAAGATTTTTTACATATATAGGTCAATACAAACGACATTAAATGTTTCGCAGCTCTTTTGGCAATTTCAGGATATTCGTTCCTAATGTCGATCCAAAAATGCATAATATCAATTTGATTAAATTTTAGTTTCAATCAACTGTCGGTCGACATACCAATTTGTCGTTCTCTTTCTTTTATTGGGAGTTCGGAGGTATCGCAGTCTTGAAAAGGATTTTGAATTCAAGATAATTTTTCTTTTTGAACAGGAAAGCATTCGCGAAATGTTTTTTGCAGATCTTATAAATGTTGGACCAAATTATGTTTTACATTTTTATCAAGATTGGCGTTACCGTCTACTAAAATATTGTGCAAATTAGGAAAGCATTCAATATTTCCTTTCAAAATGCAAACTGCCCAAAATTTCAATTTTAAAAGAGTAGCATCAATTTTACTTTGTACCCTGAAAATATTGATATTTGTTCCTCGGAGCGATGCGTTGAGCTCATTTAAATAGGTAAAAATATCTGCTAGATATACCATTTTCTGAATCCAAACTGCATCATTTAGTTTTTGAGATAATTGAGGCACGTGTTCAGATAAGAAAATTCTTATTTCATCTTTTAATTCGCAAAACCTTGCTAACACTTTTCCATGAGATAACCAACGGATGTCTGCACGCAACAGTAGTGTTTTATATAAACTTCCCATATTTTCACACAACAAATTGAAAACTATTCAATTTAACGGCCTTGATTTGATAAAATTTATCACTTTAACACAACCATTAAGTACGTCTTTTAGCTCTTCTGGCATTTTCGTCACTGCGAGAGCCCATCGACAAAGACAACAATGAGTACTTCTCGTGTGAGGATTTTTTTGTTTCACGCGTGCAACTACGCCGTTCAATTTACCAAGCATTGCCTTGGCTCCATCGGTACCTACTCGATGACATAAATCCCGAGATATATCTTGCTTTTTTAAATTTAAATTTATCAAATTAAAAATTTCTTACACAGTTGTTCTGGTTGGCAAACTTTTGCAAATTAGCATATCTTCTCGAGTAGCCATTCCATGGATTTATCTCGCAATAACGAGCGAGATCGCTAATCCAGCTATATCTGTAGTTACGTCAAGTTGAATAGTAAATCCGTGTTCGGAAGCTCGCAAATGTCTTACGAGCTCATTTTCACAAAAATAGACATATCTTTAACACGCCTTTAAACTGTAGTATCCGAAAGGGGGATACAGTCAACTAATTTAGCATGTTCTTTCCCAATCGTGGTAGTAACTACATCTTTTACGCATGGCTTAATTAATTTTTCTGCGATGGTATAAGCTTCACCCTGTTGAGTAATACGATAACTAACACGATACGATACTTCCAAAGCATTATCACAATTGTTTTTAACAAAGTTCATAAAGGTCTTTTTTGTCTTTTTTCTATTCTTCGACTCATTACATTTTCTTTTAAAATACTCAACAATTTTATTTTGTAAAGTTAGATTATTTGTTTCAAATGTCTTTTCAATTTTGCGGGATTTAAACCGCTATTGTGACTCACACGTTCGGATTCAACGTGTAACCTTTTTGGTTCATTTTTATCACCAATCCGTGTATAACCAAATTTTAAGTATTCTTCATTATACTTCCGCTTTTTACAAATGGGTAACTCCGAATTACCAGACAACTTTTTGGTACTAACATCTGGTTCATTGTCAACAGTAGTAGCGAAACTAGTTCTCGCATCCGTGGAATGAAGCTTACCAGTTTTCAACCACATATCCATTATTGCTACGGTAGTCTAATTAAATTGTAAATAAATAATGAGTTATCAATTATGATATAAAAACAAAATAAATACTCGCTTGTATGCTTGTATGTGATTGTATTTAACAGACAGAATGAGATTAACAGAACTAATATGCGACATTGTGCGTCTCGATTGGTGTATTTGAAGCACGTGACTTTTACCAAATTTCAAGATTTTATTTTATCCATAAAATATTTATTTACTGCCACTTTATATCCAATTTATATTAATATTGTAATTTTTATCTAATTATATTAATCTAATATTTTAATAAGACAGTCCACTACCCCGTTCCTACATGAAAAATTCCTTGTATAGATGATTTCCATTTTACGTGTGTTTTGGCCGAGCAAATAGTGATCACTCGCGGAACCCGTCAACGTTCCAGGGAACCCTAGGGTTCCGCAGAACCCAGGTTGAAGATCCCTGGTTTACAACATCATTTTATACATTTTCTGAAATTTTTAGAACTATCTGACAATTACAAAAAAATTATCAAAGATTTTCAATTTTTGATTGATTCAAAAGTATAAACACAGGTGCATAAAATTAGCATGATAAGTTTTTAATTAATTATTGGTTTAATTAGTTGTCACCAGAGGATAGTATCATTTATTATTACAAATGTGGGGCCAATTTTAAATGGTTTTTTATGATTTAAAACAATGCCTCGTGGAAAAACACTGAGTTGAAAATACGTGAAATTTACCAACTAAAAGGAGCAGGACAATCTCCAAGACAAATTTCAGCAACTGTAAATTGATCTGTGTGTGCTGTGAGAAATGTATTAACTCTGGATGAAAATTATGACAGAAATAAGCGATGTGAAATGCCTAAACTCCTTACACCTAGAAATGAAAGGTTTTTCGACTACTGACAGCCAACAAGTTGACTGTCAGAGAATCAGCATCAATATTGCCAATTGCAGTTTCATCAGAAACTGTATGGCGATGTATGCATAATCATAAAAATGCCAAATTTACAAAAATGGCTGCCAAACTGAAATTAACACAATTGCACAAAATAGCTAGATTAAAGTGGACCATAGACAAGATGACACAGAAAGAGAAGTGGACCAAAATAGTCTTTTCAGATTAAAAAAATGGAATTTGTATGGACCTGACAGTTACTGCCACTACTGGCATGATTTGAGGAAGAATGAAGAAGTCAGAATGAGCAGACAACAAGGTGGGAATCTCTGTGATGGTGTGAGTAGGATTTGGAAGGAGGAGTAAACAAACATTGTATATATAGAAAGTAGAATGAATTCAGAAAAATATCAAGAATTGTTGTATCAAAATTTAATAACTTTTGGATCACTTATTGGGTGAAAAAACTGGCAATTCCAACAGGATAATGCTGCCATTCATGCATCAAAGTCAACTAAACATTGGTTTACTGAAAAAAAATTAATGTAATTGATTGGCCATCATGGAGCCCTGATATGAATCCAATAGAGAATGTTTGGGGCATTATAAGTCATCTTGTTTATGGCCAAAACAGACAATACAACATTGTAAATGAACTGAAATTAGCTATCATGGATTATTGTGGAAATATTAAACAACTTCTTCAAAAACTAGTAAAATGTATGTCTGATATAGTATTTGAATTAATTAAATCAAATGGTAGACCTACAAAATATTGAGACATCACAATTAATTTTTTTAAGCATCTGTGTTTATACTTTTGAAACAATCAAAAATTGAAAATCTTTGATAATTCTTTTTGTAATTGTCAGATAGCTCTAAAAATTTCAGAAAATGTTTAAGTTGATGTTGTAAACAACATACTAATATAATAAATACTGAAATTGTTATTAATTGTTAATGTTTTTGTTACTGAAAAAAGTTGGGTGTGTTTATAATTTTGAAATGGACTGTATTATTAGTCATGTTTTTTTCCGTTTGTGGGGTTAAAGAATCTGTACAATGTTGATTGCTTTTCTCTCTTCAAGATTTTTCAGAAGTAATTAATAGCATTGTAATTGTAGATATCCCTAACCCTATTAACTTCAACCTGGTTTGGATGCCATTCTAAGACTGTCATTCTGACATCATTCCACTTCTTCAAAAAAAATATTTAATAGCAGATATCAACATTAATTCTCTTTTTCAGAAGAAAACATATCTTGCCAAGTTTCTTGGTGTTCTTCTGTCATCAGATCAGTTTCAGGTTTCATTATGAGCTCTTCAATGTTCTTTATTTCTCAGATATGATTTTTGTTACTCCTTAAGCTGCTTGAGTCTTCTTGATAACACAGTATCTTTCTTAGATAAGATTGAACTCTGGCTTACTGTAGACCTGTTCAAGCCTTGCTGCCCAGCAACAACAGACATCTGCCCACTCTCTACGTGTGATATTACTCTCTCACCTTTCGAAAATAAAAACCAATGCAAAACTTAACGAGTGCTAGCCCGACAGTCTCACAAATACTATAAAAGAATTGTTTCTGTCAGAAAAATAAAAGTCTGGAATTACAAGGGAGAGTTTCAAAGTTCAGAGGAATACTATCAGATCAGTATATACAGGGTTGAGCGTCAATGTTGACGTCTTCCGCGCTCCAAAAAGTTTTGAACTGTTGTCTGAAGATGAGGGAAGACCAATCAGTATTCATTATTTTATGTCACTTCTTCTTGTGTTTGTTCTGTGAGATGTTTGTTATCCAAACAAAAATATTTCGCGAAAGTGTTCATTATCCGATTTGTTCGTTAACTGATCACTCACTGTATTAAGAAAAAACATTATAGATGCATCTTATTGAATTTTGATGATCTCACTTCAATAGCTCAAAACCAAATATAATCAACCTGTTTTAAATTTATAAGTAGAATAACAAGACTATGAAACAATAAAACAAATTACTCCTTTCCAAGTAACTAAATCAACAACAGGTGTACTAGTCAGGAAATGCTCTCTAACAAATTAAATATGTTTTGTTTAATTAATTTAGATATTATTTGTAAGTAAATATTTCAACAAAATATTGAAAAAAAATTCCAGAAATATTGTAATTTGAAACTAGAATGAAATCATAGATGGCTGAAGTCTTAGCACGCTGACAAGCAGTGTTAAAATTCATTCTTATCAAATTATATAACAAGACACTAAAATCTGTTTTGTTAATTATTGCATCTACATATTACTGGCTATTACACTTAATATTGTGTGTGTGTCCAGGAAGTTCTATCCTCAAACTGCAAAAGTTTCATTCATATTTGTGTTTTCCATCATGCACACAGACACTGTTAGGTGTGTGCATCAAGAACCTGTACGTCTTTATAGAATGATATTGCCGTTTTCTGTAGTAATTAACCGTCTTACTTCAAAATGACTTTTAACCCTAAATTATATCTTTCAACTAAAAAAATAAATAAATAAATAAATAAAATACTTGGAAGAAGAAAAGTCTAAATTTGGACTGTAAGGTAGATGAGGCAGGACAATCCACTGAAATTCTGTGAAGATTACAGGTATGAAGACTTGGTGAACTGTACCTTGCATTATTGTAGTCAAACCTGTTTTGGTTACTTTTTGTCACTTCATTGTTATGTACATACTCTTTTCTAATGTTTTTTTTCAATTTCTTTTAAACTGTTTAGAACTCATCACTCACAGATATCATTTGTAAAAATCACTAGGCCACTAATATCTAGTTAAAAACTTTGCAACTACAAACATAAACATATAACATTCAAAAGCTAGAATGCACAAAACATTAAATATTACTTTATAATAGTGAATGCACTTTAAAGCAAACACTGATAAAGTTAATTTTTCTGTTGCAGTGGCAAAACACCATTGTCACAATGTTAATTTACATTTATTTACAATCACCAAGATAAAGCAAACAAATTTTACCAGAATTCATCAAACTGAATTGTAAATTAACTCCACAACCCTCAAGAAATAACCCCACTTCCACAGATATATGACAACAGGGTGACAAAACCTTAAAAAATTTTTGTATGCTTAGCAAGCATACAATTGGGGACTATTATCTATTTATTTTTTGTAAATATTGGTAAAATATATATACATAAATATGGTTAAGACTTGTGAGGTATGAGTTATGAGGAAAAGGAAATGTTTTGGAATAACATACCGTACCACCATTAATACATTTTAACAGAATGGTTAACATCACGTCAAATAAAAGCTGCCTTCAAAAACAAATTCTTTGGAAAAACTTACACTTTTTTTGATTTTAATTCATATTATATTTAATTTATAATGTGATATATTTTTATTTTTATGTAATTGTTGTCTTTGTTTTCACAAAAATACATTTGTTAATTTTGAGTATATCTATCAACATTCTTCTAGACTTTTCTATTTACTTGTAAAAATAAATACCATATTTTACTGACTATAAGACACACTTTTTTCTTCGAAAAATTGCCTCCAAAATTCAGGTGCATCTTATACTCAAAATTAATATAAAAATGTCCAGAGTTTGATTTAAAATTCCCGTCAGTCTTAAAAATGGCCATATATTTGATGCCGCAGGAAACCTCTCTCTATCTGGCAACAGTGAATCCAACTGGCAGCAGCAGTGCACCGATGTGACAAACATGAGTGCATTCTTTTATTCGTCTGCGTAACTCCACGCAAACGACATCCATTTAAAAATTTCTGCGCAACGCGTTCCTAAATTCCAGTCGGAGTGTGTGCCGTCGAATGGCAAAAATGGCCACTTGTAGCAGTAGTTTGTGGTGGAAAGCAACATGGCATCCTCCATGACTAAGATAGTTTTGTGTCATAGTATTACTGTATGTGGTTTTATGAATGAAAATTTAGAAATTGTGAAAGCACAAGTTAGTGCATGCACATGCAGTGATGTACAGTAAGTGTCTTTTCGAATTTTTTTTGGATGATAGCCAGCATTTAATTTTTTTCGTGGCTATTTTGAATGCTCTTCCAACAAATAATCCATTTTATGGTTAAATTTTACAATTGGGACTCTTCTTTTGCCTTTATAAGCTCATATTTTAGAATTACAATATTTTTGTTAGTAGCTAACAAAAATAACGGTAAAAATGTTATTTTTTTAAAAAATTGCTTAAAAATTAAGGTGTGTCTTATAGTCCGTAGCATCTTGTAGTCCGTAAAATACGATAAATACAGTATGTTATCTGTATAAACATTTGTTAATTACAAAATCATTCTTTTAACTCGTAAATTTAAATACTTTTTTAAGAAATGAGTTAATTGTTTCTTAAATATTATTTAAATTTACCTGGTGATAAATCAATAGAAAAGAATGATAATTTTGTAAAAAAAACAAACAAACAAATTTGTATTTTGTCCATTGTTTATCGCTTATTTTGTCACCTAGTTAGTGGTAGCCCCACTTCCAGTTATGGTTGCTTTTTACAGTTTTTGACATGAATAGGAATTAGTACTGTAATGTTCTATTTGGATTTTTTCCTCATAATAAACAAAGATTAGCTCAACCTCTGACTGTAAAGGAATTCAAATAATTTTAGTGACCATTTTACTGTACTCAGAAAATATGGGTTAATGTTTAAGAACAACCACCCCTTTAAATGGATGCAATCCCATGCAAACATGTGCTACTTTGCATATCAAGGAATGCATATGAGAATGCAAGATTTGGCTGCTTTTTGCCAAATTTGGCTCATTTTTACTCTTTTGGCACAAAAAATATATAAAAAATATATTTAAAAAAAATAATCTTTAACAGAAAAAACTACTACAAATTTCTTTTAACTTTGTTTCTTTATTTTATTTAATCATATAATCATTCTGATATATTACTGCACACTTAAATGGCAAATTTTGTCTCCTCATTTTGTTTGATTTGAAAAATCATTTAGAATTTGTTTCTGTTAATAAATTTATTTTATTTACTTTATTTATTAAATTAATCCAAAATACTGTATTATATTTTAGAGATTTCGATCATTTGTTAAGCCTTAACTACCCAAATTATATGACCTTGGTTTGACCTTGAATATAATTCATATGAACTTTTGGCAAAACAAACTAACTACTATTTCCCTAGCTATTCGTATTAACACAAACTGACTGTACTTCCTGGGCATCCCTCAAATTACTTCTTTCATTAATTCTACTCAAATATTTAATTTTTAATATTTTCAACTCATATAAGCAAATCAAATACACTCAAATTGTGCAATGGTGAGCACTTACCATTTCCCAAACTTGCATGATATTATCTTCAGATACAGAACATATCACCCAAGGTTCATTTGGATTCCAAGAAAAATCAGATATCTTTGCAGTGTGACCACCATGAATAAACTAGTAAAACATAAAAGCACTATCAGTATTATGGTTTTAAAAATTTTAGTTTCAACAATCATTTGTTAACAGTTTATAAATTTAAAAAATATAAAAATAAAAATGATAAACATGCAAATTTAAAAGTTACCTATAAAAATTACTGAATATTAAAGCAGTTTCATCATTTAATACTAAATTTTATGAAATTTAGTATTAAATGATGAAACTATTAATACTAAATTTCATAAAATTTAGTATTAATAGATAAAATACTGATCTCAATTGATATTGTATCTTATGTCAATCTACAACAATATATAATAATCATATTGAACATGTCATATTGTTAGGAAGTTGCTAGATGTTGGCACACATACAAATAACACAGCTTAATGTTACTCTTGTTTGGGTAGCTATGCTTTGACTTTAGTCTGGCGTAACTCTAAGTGTTTTATAGTTTCAGTATTTTCCACTTATTGCCTAAAATGAAATGTTCTACTAACCTAAGAAAGTTTATCAAAAAAAGACAAAAAACTAGTATACATGGACTGTTTCATATAAAGTAATATTGTTCATGAAAAAATAGGTAAATATGCATAAATCTTATATTGTCAAAACAATATTCTCTTTTTTGCTGGCTTGGTGCCAAAAACAAATAACAAAATTGAAGAATTTTATTTTTTGTCAAAGTAAAGTAATAAATTATGACCTAAATTTTTGATGTTATTAAACATTTTTTTAAAGTAATTTTTACTTGTAATGATTACACACTATTGTGCCAAAAACTACATAAAAAAATAAATATACATGATTTTTTTTTGTATCTCTGAGATAAAAATTCAATTTTTGGTAAATTTTTAAAATAAAATACATAGAGTGACCTTAAGTGACTGCAGTTTGGATTGATGTTTTGAAGAGTAAAGTACAACTGATCACGTTGTAGTAAGAGTTAATTACCAAATATTATCTATCTATAGCTTTTCTTTCAAATAAATTAATTTGTGTATTCTTATTTAAGCGTTTCCAATAAAATCTATTCCTGTAATCATTGCATTCAATGCAACATGTAGCTGATTTCTGTGATGTAATACATTGGTTATTTGAGGTAGAATTGATGCTAACAAGTATCCAAATTGTCATTTAACAGAAAGGTGTAAAGAAACATAACTTAATACAGCATATACCATATTATATGCTTTTATATTTTACCTTCTGGTCTTTATAATTTTTCTTATGAAACAACAACATTGAACACTTGTTTATAGAAAGTTATCAATTTCCTTTTTACTATAATCACTAGATTAATTAAAATTAATCTGAAACTATAATTATTCCAAATATAAAACAATTTTATCACCACTATACTGTATTCAGAAATAAAAAAAGCAATAAAACTTAGGGATTTGAATGATTTTCACAAATTTTCTTGAAGTTTTCTAAAGCAGTCATTTTATCAGATATATTACAGATTTAACCACACCCACTGAATTGTAACTACATGGTAAGATAAAATCTAATATACCTAGACTACACCAATGTTTGTTTAAAATCTTACATAATGTACAAAATAACAGAATGGCAACTCCAAAAACTTAAAATTTTGAATTAATTGAAAGCTGCTGTTATTTTTATTTCTCAATCATTGTTTCCCCTTTTTACAATACTAGTATCTTCAAAATAAATCATTTAGTGGATTAAATAATTCAAATCTAAATAAAAAGTAACAATAAAAAAGAAAAACTGTAATTTGTAAAATTAAATTATAATCAGCTATACAATTCAGTTCCAAATAATTTTGCTTACCAAGAGTTCAGGAGGACCATCCTCAGCATCTTCAGCAGACTGTTCTTCTCCAATTTTACTTAAATCCCACACATGTAACCTCCTATCTGTACCACTTGAAGCAAGAATTGTTTCATTGTGAGGCGACCATTGTACTTGAAATATTTCATCTTTATGAGATTCAAATGAATGAAGTTTCAATTTTAAATTTCTGAGATCCCAAAGTGCAACTGTCTAATATATACAGAATATATGATTTTATAATTTAATCTTTATTTTTAATAATTATTTTATAAAAATTACTATCTTACTTTGTCCGCAGAACCAGTGGCTAAAATAAATTCACTGTATGGATTAAAAGAAAGGCAATTTACTTCAGCAACATGAGCATCTACTGTATGGCTTGGTTTATTTGTGTTGTTTGAACGTGTATCCCAACTAAAGAAAAGAAAAAATGATAATTTCAATTGCTTTTACATTAAAAACTTTTTACATAAACTAGTTGATAAATAATTTACTGATGAAAAATAATTAACAATGAAACAACATTACAATTAAGGCAAATTACATGGATATACTTTAAGATAACTGAGTTTCTGTAATCTTTCAGTTCTTTCTTGGATACAATGAATAACGGTGATTTCAATAAATTATTTACACAATAATTTTCTCATTAATAAAAAACAGTAATAATAAATTTAAAAACAACATATAGCGCACACTTCTTTTCTCTATAATTTCCCTTCAATATTATAATTAAATACATCAATTCAAATAAAAATATAAAGCTAAAAAAACCATTAGCTAAAATTATATAAAATGTACAAAAATAGACTTATAACATTTCAGAATTTACAAAGTAACATAAACACACATCTAAATATTATTATTTACTAAACATACATCATTAATTTTTGATCATCAGCTACAGAACCAAACAGACTTTCATGAAGTAGATGCCAGGCAACATCCTAAAAATCAAAAAATTAGAAATATATCATTTAAAATCATAAATATGTAATCAGAAAATTATTTTATTTGTATACATTTTTAATTTTTTGAGACAGTATATTTTTATATATACCATGGAAATTAATATTTGAAACAAAAAATTTATTAAATTGATATAGTTCAAAGTATTTTTGAAAGGTTTTTTCATGACACTCAAAAAAAATATTTTAAAAATTTACACAGCTATAGTAAAATGAGATGATAGTGTTAACAGTAAAAATGATGCATTTGCTAATAATTAAAAATTGCATTATATTTAATTAAAAAAGAAAAAATTATTATTTACCTCAACTACAGCTGTATGACCAGTAAAAATTGTTTTAGCATCAACGATTTTGTTTTCTCGAGGAAGAGCATTTATATCCCAAAGACAAATTGTCTAATTTATAAAAAAAATAGTTTTATAAAATTTACAATTACAACAGCTTTAATAATCAAAGTTCAATACATCTTTAAAGAAAGAATTACCTAAATTCTCATACCCCTTAAATAAAAACTATTATTTTCATAATACAGTGCAAGAGTATATTTTTAAAAATTCAAGAAACGCAGGCCGCAAAAACATTAAGAATCACTGTTATAGGTGCTCATTTAAATATAGATAAGGAATTTTTTGTATATCAATAAATTTTTGTTTTATTTTTCAAATTTCCTATAAAAATAGTTATTATTAAACTTTAAAAAAAAAAAAATCACTAAAATATTCAATTTTTAATGAGAAATTATCAGTGGAATTATGTAACTATGCAAATTTTTCTTCACAAATGTAGCTGCACCAAATAACATTTCTCATATATATAAACATTCATATTTTAATACACATTATAAGTACAGTAAGACCTTGTTTAGTGCTTAGGATGCGTTCCTAGATGACAAAGCACTAAATAAAATGACCTCATTTAATGCTAGTTTCAACACAGTAAATAGGAAAAGGGAAACATTAACCAAAAATGAACAAATTTTAAGTTATTTTTATATTAATTTGCATAATAATATGTTACATAACACAAACATATGCACACAAAAATATAAAGTTCATTTTGTGATGAAGGTCCTGGCACTTCTGAAATTCTTGATTTTTTGCAATGAACTTGTCTAGAATCATTTGTCACTTTCTTTATCTTTCATTAAGCAAATGTCAGTAGCAGGAGATCACATCCAAAATGCCTTGTCTTGCTTTTACATTCCTTTCAAAATCTGGATCACTTGCTACAATTTGATCAACAATTTCAGTTATCATTGCTACAGATTTCCTTAGTAAAAGTTTTGTAAATTCTTTGGGTTCTTCGTTTTCAGAATCACTATTTTCCAGTTCTACATAAATTCCTTGTTCTTCCAATTCTTGAAGGTTGTTGTTGGTAAGGTTTTCAACCAGAAACCTGCAGTAACTCTGCAATATCTTGCACTTCTACATCTCCTAGTCCTGCTGTATCAATTAGGTTGACAATTTGGTCAACAATAGGCCCTTCTTGTTGTGCATGAACATAGTGTGGAAGAATGTATGACTGGATACCTCCAGCCATATATTCTTCCCCACACTGCTCATGCATTTATCTGTTGAAGTCAATATTTGCATTTACCAAGTGAAGTCAATATTGCCTATGGCATCCACGATATCATATTTTTTCCAAAATTGCAAACAAACATAGATTTAGGAGTACAGCTTTATGATGAATTGTCACCTTTAGCTGATTGGTTCATGTTCAAGAATAATCGTATTATATATGAATCAATGAAATGCTACAATAATTTGAATCAGTGTGAACTTTGAGTTATTTTTTTATGCTTCGAGCAGACAGGATTACATCAAATCAGCATTAATCAAGAAAGCAAAAAATAAGGTCTTACTGTTACAATAATGAACACAAATTAGTACAAATCAACCTTATATTGTAACAAAAAATAAAATGTTAAAAAAAATATGTTCTTTTTTGTAGTCTTTCCATGTTATTTCCTCCCCAAAAGAAATGATTATTAGATAAATAATATATCTATATAGTTATATAATTTAATTACTTTAAATAAAATACTACAATTAATGGAAAAATTTAATAATTCAAAACAAATTAATATTAAATATCTTTAAAATTAAACAGATTGTATTTAAATTAATGGCATTTGAGTAGTCAGTTATATTCTACAAAATAAACGGCAAAGTCATTTTTGGGACGAGACTATGTCTCGGAGAGCGCAAGCAATGCATGAGTGTGCAAATCTCACACTCATGCCTGTTTGTAGAAACAGTCTCGGCATTTTGTATTTTCTTTTGACCCAGTTCTCAGTCCTGACTACCTACAAGTCTGGTTTATTTTACGTGCACATGATTTGGGCACCACTGTGCCAAATTGTAACTTCTGACACGTACTCCTTCATACCGCTAAGGTGTGCAGCCATTGACAGTAATGCAATTTTAAAGATGAGACAGTCTCATCAAAAATTGAACATTAAACCCATTGCATAAAATGCTTTATTTTTTCTAGATTTCAAATTTTTCTAGTGACACATAAACATCTCTTTTCAATTGGACTATTTTATTTTTATTTAAGGTAATTTTACTGAAAACATTTTATGTCAATAAGTGATGCCAATATATTTTCTAATATACATAGAAGCTTCAAAAAATCATTAACAGAAGTAAACTTACATGATCATCAGATGCACTTAATAAATTTCCATTAAGGTTAGGATTCCATGACAATCCATATCTGTTTTAAAAATTTTATTATATTAAAAATATTATAATTTTAATAATTTAATCTATTCATAAATTTATTTTTAATAGGTATTTAATAATTATTTATTGAATTATCAACTAGTAAGTAATACTTTATTATTTATCAAGACTAACAGTCAGAACAATCTCATCATGTGTTTCTAGTGCATAAATTTATTTTATATACAGTGGTGCCTCGTATAACTTACTTAATCCGTTCCAGGTGCACGTCCATTAAGTGAAAAGTCCGTTATGCAAAACGCATTTTTCCATAGAAATACATGTTAAAACATATAATTCATTCTGCAGCATAAAATAACTGTACTGCACCACTAAAAAAAAAAATGAAAATGGAACAGGCACCAATTATGCCAGGTAGTCAGATGTTGTGAGGAGGAGGTGGAGGAACACCTATTTCACACATTCATACAGATACAGACTTTTACACATTGCAGCAGGTCTCTTTTTATTGTTTTTTAATCAGAGTCAGATTCAGGAGAGTCTACCGGAGCTTGCAGGGTCATCTCCTCTTGTTCCATCCTTTGGTTTTTGGCAGCTGGCTTCTTGAAAAAATGTCCAAGGTGGTATGTTTCTCTCTCTTCTTCAACACTTGTCGGAAATGATGGGCAAGGGTGCCATTGTAGAGATCATTGATCGTGTTGGCCTCAGCTCTGTTTGGATAATAAGTGTTGGTAAACTCCTGAACCTCTCCCCATTTGACAAGGAAGTTTTTTGTAACCATATGCAAATAATGTAGATACTCGTAACTACCACTAGAGGGCCAGAAGCAGTTTAAAAAGGGGATAAAAATGAAAAGGGTGAAGAATTTCTGTGTGTTTTTAATTGTAAAAGTGTCAGAAACCTACAAGAAAAGGCTGACACTTGATCTTTTTTAACCTTGTGAAGTTTTTTTTTACCAATTTTTACCTGTGTTTAAGAAGAGTTCTTCAAAGCAAAAATTTTTTAAGACTGCTACTTCTGTGGTAGTGTATAAAGGATAAAGATGGACTCAAAAGTTATTTTGACTTTTTGTAAATAGTCTAAACTTCAAATTATAAGGAAGTTTTTGTCAACTTTCACTCCTTCTGATGATTTCTTGCTTTGTATCAATTGAAATCACCTTTCTGTTTTTTTCAGAAGCCATGATTTGCACAACACTCTGCACTGAGGTGATGTATGTAATAAACAAGGGATTAAGCCGAATCCCAATGGGAGCTCTATTTCAGATATACTAATAATATATTCTAATAATACTGTATTAATATATTACAAAAATAGTAGATTGTCATTGGCAATGGCAAAAGAGTGGAAACATCATTTGCACTTGTTCACAGAAAGTCCGTTGTTCGCCTCACATAACTGCCGAACGGAAAGTCCGTTGTTTGCAGCCAGTCCGTTACTCGAGTCACTTAACGGCCAAACAGAAAGTCCGTTATTTGAGGCGTACATTATACAAGGCACCACTGTATATATATTATTAGGCTCAAAGAACAAAAACACTCATTGAACAACGCGTTGTGGTCTCTTTAAATCAGTGTTTTTCAACCTTCTTGAATACGTGACCTCTTTACAAGTTAAAAAATTCTGGCAACCCCCAGGGCCATATTAAAACTATGTCAGTGATTTTAAAAACTACCTATTGAATTTTCTTTCTGTTGAGATTTAAATATCGATCAAAAAATCAATTGTACTGTAAAATAAACAGGCACAGACTTCTCACTGAAATTGTAGTTTTTTTATTGTAGGGCAGGACCTACCAAAAATATGTCTTATTTTACCAGCGACCCCCCGTGTGTGGCTTTGCAACCCCACTGGGGGGGGGTCATGACCCACAGGTTGAAAAACACTGCTTTAAGTCATCCACAATGTGATATTCGTGTTGTGGCACTTTTAAAAACAGCCAAACGCGTTGTGACTAACTCAAAAAGATCACAAAACGAAATTTGCGTCGTGGTTTTCATGATATTCGACCACTATGCGTTGTGGATGTTTTTTTCCCCCTGCTCAATGAGCCTAACATATATAAAAAACACACATATTTGTAATCTGTATTTTATTGTGTAATGTACTACAATGTCAATATGCAGAACTTGAATACACAAATGATTTAATAAAAAGTATCAAACACCATTTTTTCCCCGCACGAAAAAATTNTTGGGGGAGTTGGAAATCGCAATAAAAATTATAATTTTTTAAAAATATTTAAAAATATAGGTTTAGTTTCTAGTCACCCTACTTTAAACCCTTCTCCTCCCGAGAAGTCTGAATGTCCGGGAAGTATGACACCAGCTGTTCTCAAGGTCATCCAGATGTGTAAACAATGATTCATTGGTGTTAAATTTCACAGGAAGACGAGACAAAGGAAACTAAATGATGAAGCTTTTTAACCAAAATTAATGCATTTCTTTCGTTTTTTCAGTTTTAAGTATTTTTTATGCTTAATTAAAATTTTTTTTTAAAAAGTGGACAAGAAGGGATTAAATAAAACAGTGCTTATATCACTGCCAACCTAAACTTAACTGCACATTCAATCAATTTTGCATTGCATTTGTGTTATGCAGTTCTGCACTGCTATCTCGTTTGTTGTGAAGCATTCAACTTTTGTATTTGACATCCTATTCCAGGATCACTTGATATTTTAAAATGCACTAAAACATAGTGAATACATGTGCTACAACTTTGAACTGACAGTGTCGCCTTAGTTGCCATTAGAGGGCCAAGATTACAACAGTCCTCTCCAATAGAAGAGTTCAAAGGAAATTTATCATACACCCAATATAGTAAGCATTTTCAAAAGTTTTACAGTGATTGGCCTATTCATTTTTGAAATAATTGGCCAAGGAGAGATTTTTGTTAGCACCCAATATTTATTTGAACATTCTAAACTCAAGTTTTATTTGTCAAATTCTAATTATTTTTTATGTATTAAGTTATGATTTTTGAAAGCCAAATAATTTTTTAAAAATGACTTAAACCGTAGATATAAAAATCACCTCAATCTTATTAAAACTATTAGAATTTTTATGTTAAATAGAGCTTAACCATATACAGGATGTTTACTTAAATATTTATCCGGGTACAAAAAAGATCTTTCCAATATTGCACAAATACATGCAGATGATAATTTAGTTTTATTGTTAAGTTTATAGTAAAATAAACTCATTTATTCAAGAAAGGGATGTGTAAATTGCATGGCAGTTCTCCAACAATAAATTTACCAATCATAACAAGATTGAAATTAAAAATGCAATCTTTACAATCATATAACAACATGCAATGCTGATCACCTTAAAAAGAGCTATCATGCATTCTGCCAATTGTTTAACATGTCTACTACAACAACTTAAATTCATGAACATTACTGTGAAGTGATTATACTTTCACAACTGCATAAGCAGAACACATTCATGCAATGCTGGAATGCTCTCTCTTCCACCTGGATAAAATTAATACCCTGTAAAATTATAAAATTGTACAATTATAAAATATAGAAATTGTTAGATTTAAACAAAACATGTTTAAATCTAAAATATATATCAATAAATCAGTTATTGATTTATAATCAATAACTGATTATAAATCAAACCAAATCATAACTTTTATAATCACTAAATTTAAACAAAGTTTCAGTTATATAGTTAAAACACCAAACTTGTTGATAAAATTACTTAAAGATAATTAATAAATAATCAATCATACACTAATTTTAAATACTATTTTCAGTAATAAAAATTACACTGATGGAAAAAAAAAACATTTACCCTTCTTTCTGATGTCCTCTTAATCTTAAATCTGGACTACATTCTCCATTAGGATCTATAACATTAAATATTTAAAAATTTTACACTAAAGAAACTTTTACAAAGAAAATTCTGGTTTTTAAAATTACATAAATTGAAGCCATACACAATTAATTTAAAAATTCGTAAAGTACATTTCAACTTATTAAAAAGAAAATTAAAATCAAACTAAAAATAAAATCTGATCTCTTGTCACAGAAAATCCAATTATTCCAGCAGTGCTGTTTCCATTAATGAAGTTCTCAAGTTATTGCAGTTTTTTTGTACCAAAATTTTCATTTGTCTTTTTTGGATCAAAATTTGAAATGTTGGGTGATTGCTTTTAACAATTTCACAGTACAATTCAATTTTACATTTAGTCAAATTTGTTTTTTTTTCAATTAACACATACAAAATTTAAATAATCATTTTTGGCAATCATTCCAAGACAAAGGGTTCAACAATGCTTTTTTGCAATATGTTTGAGATCCTGAGTAGCAATTTGATGGTTTTGTTTTCTTTATCTAGCCCAGTAGTTTTCATATATATATATATATAAATTGTCCAATTTCTTTATTACTTGTTTCTTGCATAAGGGCTAAAATATAAATTATTTAAAATACGTATAAGACATGTATCTCATTGACAAAGATCAAAGAGAGATTATAAAGCTGGGGTTTGTTCAGAGAATCTTATACCATCAGTGTCATGTCAGTTGACAGTGACTTTCAGAATGTTTTTTCCTTTCTTTTTTTATTAGTGAAAAATATAAGGTTTTTTTTTCTGTGCAATGTCTATGGAGTCCACAAAAAAATTAAAAAAGGGTCCATGGGTAAAAAAAGGTTGAGAACCACTGATCTAGCCTATAACATTTCAACAACAACTGTTCGTTAAAACTTACTGGGTGAGCACCTGTACATTTTCAATAACTTAGATTTAAAAAAAAAAAATCACTGATGTTTGTAAATACAAAGAGGAAATACACAAGATGCAATCATATGAATCAAGTAAACTAAAATTATTGACAATAACTGTTAGAGAAATTCATCAATTCATAAAATTATTAGAGAAATTTGGAAGTTGCTTGTAAAACTGTCACTGACTTTCAACTGACTGTCTTTCAAGTAGAAAACCAAACTTTGTGATATTTTGAT